CTGTCTGGGTACGACCAAGCATAATGTTTCCATGGCGTTTCCAGCAACGCCAAAATGCTTTTCAAGAAAAGGTGCTTAAATGTCATTAGATTTTCCTCCTTGAATGTGACAACCATCTGGTTACTGAGCCCAAAAGAGACCAACTGACATGGGAAAAGACATTTGTTATCAGAGTGGTGAAACAATACAATTAACATCTGCTCAGATCATGTCTGAGAATACTACCTGGATGGTAATAATTGCAATTTTAATGATCTGCAGCATGAGTTTCCATGGTTTTGGTCCACGAGCGAGGTGATACTTTTCACAGGGTTTTCAATAAAGTAAAATTTGATCTCCTCCTGAGACACTAGACTCACATGATTTCATGTCCAGATTCTCCCAGACACCTGATGTTGGTGTCTGCCCAGGGAGGGTGGGCATTTGTTTCATACACAATCGTACAAGTGACTGGAATCCTCCATATCTGAAATGAAATATAATATGTGTGACTTACATGCAAACTTTGGATATAAATTGGCATTACTGAGAAATGTGAGGAAACAAATGATTCAAAATTATTTATATTTATATTTTTTGTACATTACCATGTTTTCCTTAAAAACCAAAGTGTGGGCCAAGGCTCAGCTTCACAAACAAGTCAGCGTTGATGGCTCTTTTTATGTTGGGCAAATGTATACAATGCAATGCAACCAAATACAATTGCCCTTCAATAAATCTGTTTTATAGACTCTTTACACTGTGTCAGGAATATGGTGATTTGACCTTTAAGATCTTACTGTTTGTGGCTTTGCTGTATTGGACTTCATGCGATTTGGTATTGTTTGTGCCAGCCAATTTACATAGGTAAAGGAAACAAATTAGTTAGAATAGAAAGACTCCCTGCTATTATGAAATCCAATACACGTATTCCTTCAAACTATGGCCCCCAAAAGCCTGAATAAACACCCAACAAAAACTTCAAATATAGGCTTTATTGCGAGACTGCTTTGCTGATTGCATAAGACTGTAAGTGCACTTGATAAACTTTTAATTACTGCGGGAAACGTACAGGTATTCTTCCTCTTTTCTGTTTCCTTCGAGGTAGATAGGTAAACATGAAATCACAAAGGCTACAAGTCTGCTTTATCATCTAACCCTTATGAGAAATGGTAGTCTGTTGAGCAACTGACTGAGGAAAAGGAGGAAATTAAGTCAGGTGTACCAGAGCTTTGTTGAATAATACACAACAGCTCACGTTCTGAAGCCCGATCAGCTTTCCACTTTAAGCAAACTATCTATTTATTCATTATTCATCCGTGTTAAGAGTAATCATAGCCGGACCAAAAGTGAGAAGGGACGAAATGAAAACCAAAATGAGAAAGTAGGCTGCTTACCCAATGTCCCGCAACAGATTAATCAACTGCTAATTGCATCCACCTGCGGTCCAAGGCACGAGCGAGTCCAATGTCTTCGTCTCAGTTAAAATTGAAGACCTACTCAAATTGTCGCTTAAAGTGGAATTTCCAGGTGTGTGTGTCGTCCTGTCGGTTAAACTCCTTAAATCTATGCCTGTGAATAGCTCAGGTAACTTTCTACGAGTTGTAACGTCAATTTACAGCTGTGATCTGATTGGCTTCTTGGACTGTCAATCACCCCCCACCCCACCCCCCCCCGGTCCGCACCCGCCCTCCACCGCACACACACACACACACACACACACTACTGTTACCCCTGACAACCTGACAGCTCCTCCACAACGAAAGTGTGGAGGAGCTCAAGCTACTATAAACTTCCGGTAAAGTGTATTTATTCGACTATAAACTATACCTCTCGAGGGAAATTACATTTGTTGTCAACTGAAAATAGTTGTACCTTCGATTAAACTGACTTGTAATAATAAATGCTCGCTATCTCGGAGCTCTTTACCCATAGTACCGTCTTTTTTTCATTACCGTTATCCCTATTTAGCTAGCTAATTCTGCTAGATTAACGTTCGTTAACGAGTGTTATGTGCAAACCAGCTGTAATGTGTCAGTAATTTACTTAAGATAATAGTTGAATAAAACGGTTGTATTTTGTATCATAGTACTTTATGTGTTATTAGCCTGTGGTAACAGGTCTAGTTGTATTCGTTTGACATAATCAGCGATGCAAAGTAAGTAGGTTAAGTAAGAGCAACTCTGAGGTACCTATACGTTTCCAGTTTATTCTACGTTATACTTATACTTTTCCACTTTTTTGAAGGAAATGGTCTACTTGTTTTACAGCTGTAGTCTTTATTATGTACAGATCGAAATTTTCATCCAAAATATGTGATTAGTTCAGAAAATTTATAGATTAAATTACCAAATAGTATTTAAAGAAATAAAAAATTAGCTTGACATTGGCCAACTACACATTAAAATGCTGTTCACACCTGAATGCATTAGTAATAACAATCAAGGAATGTAATGCACATATAACACTTTGAGACCAGTCTGCATAACAAATACTTTTACTTTGATACTTGAAGTACATTTTACTGATATTTAGTAACATTATAAGTAACATTTTGAATGGGGGACATACTGTAAGGCAAAACTGAGGTATTACTGCTTTTACTAAAGTGAAGTATCTGAGCACTAGATATAATTAGTGATTATGTTGTTAAGACTATTAACAACACGAAAATGTTGTTGATGGTCCTTAGCAACCTTAGCAAATATAAACTGAAGTATACAGTAAAAATGTACAGCAGTCAGAAGACTTGGTTAAACTTTTGTTTACACAGATAAAGTAAATTCAAACAGATCCCTGCTAAAGAGGCAATGCAAAAATGGTAGGGTAATTCCATTATCCCCCCACAAGATGTCACCACAGGCATTGATAATGACAGTCCAAGAAACTCTACTTGCTACTCTGTGTAACCTGTATGAGTCAATCAATAAAACGTAAATGTATAAATAAGAATGTGTAATTTGGTTTTTTGCTTGGCGAAATGTAACACTGTATGTTCTTTTCAGAGAATTTGAACTTATAACATTATCCCTGTCATTAGTGAAGCTGTCCTAAGAACAAAGATGCCACCTAAGATATCAAAAAGTGCAACAAGCAGCGCAGGCAGTAAAGGAAAAGATAAAGGTGAGTGTCTGAATTCTAATACCAGTGTTAACAGTGTGTGGAAATGCATGCAAGTTTGTCTTAGGAAGATATCTACAGTAACACAGTAAATAAAATGGACTGTTACTTCCAATTCAGGCAAGAAGATTCGGTCACCTACTCCTGAAAAGCCTGGTAAGAGAGAATCAATTACTTTTTGCTGACCGATGTATGAACTTGGACTTGTATAGTGCTTTTCTGACCACTCAAAGTGCTTTCCAATATTTGCCACATTCACCCATTCACTCACACATTCATACATCACACGCATTCACTGATGGAACAGTCATCGGGGCAATGTGGGAAATGCAGCTCGGAGAGACAATAACAATGAAAGATAATCATACTCACATTAACTTAAGAAATTAAACAATTTCAGTAAAACTGGTGGATAAACTAAAGTTAGATGAGGCAAATTTTAAATATCCTAAATTATATTAACAAGAGGTCCTATATAGTCTTTGAATACAGTTGCCATTTTAGCATTTTAAGCATTAAAAATTTAGCTTACTAAATTTGTAAAAATCATTTATTGATACACTGGTTTTCATTATCTTCATTTATTGGATTTGTTTTAAGGAAATACAAATATCAAAGATGTCTTTGAGGAGTCAGAAAAAACTATATGCATTATTCTGATGTGATCTTGAGTATACTGTTGCATAGCCTTTGGCCATGCTACTCTGCTGTGAGTCCTCATTGTCAAGGTTTAGTTAACATTCAGTATACCAACCCTGAAAACATGCTTTTGGTTAAATGCAGGTCACCAACAGTGTATATTTTTACTGCAGATTAGGTCATTGGCTCTCGTGGGAGTTAAAAGTAATGGTCCTCAGATTGACTCTATTTTGTACATGTATTATTTTATTCATCAGTTTAATCAATATTCATATTATAGTCACAGCAGTATAAGTGCAAGTCTGTTTGATCTTGTAAATGCAAAGTCTCTCAACATTGATAATATAAGTGAGAAGTAATCTTATCAGCCGATAAACACCTATTATTCAGGTCTAATTTCTTTGCTAGTGTCAGCAGAGATGAAAATAAACAGAACCAAAGTTATGTACTGTGGTATACTATAAATATCAAGACTTACAGTATGCGGTAAAAAATTGCTAGGCTTGGGTGAATTATGCAAGAGTAAAGAGGCCCGACAAATTTAAAATATCTCTTTGGCATAGTCTACAAATGCAGTTTAATTGCATTCTTGAGGGTTATGGAGCATAGAACATCACACTCTCTTTGTCTTCCAAGCAAATATTTCCCATGAGTACAAATGCCATAGTTGACACATAACTCTGTGAAATGAGGGGTGTGAGTTTCCACTACAATGATTTGGTGTGAGGCCGGAGTGGTGTGAGTGGAAAAGGTTGACACACCCAGCTGGGAAGTGGTTACTTAAGCTGCACTTGAGCATTCCCAGCGTCCCCTCAGCAACCTTGTGGAAAGACTTTGAAGAGAGAGACCACAAGCAGGATGAAAACTATCATTATGCAGAGCCCTGTTTACTGTAGTGTGCCCTGGACTGAGTCTGGCCTCAGATATGGAGGAGTCTGCATAGATTGTTTATTAAGAAAAACTTTGTTGTGGTAATGGTGCAGTGCTGTGGTTTTACATAGCAACACTACTAGTTTAGATGTCTACAACTGAGCAGTCTATGTTTTGAATTCATGCATTATTGATCTGCGTTTCACATGCCAGAGTAGTAGAAAAAACAACAGCATTCCTCCTGCAAGCATTTGGACGTTGTGTGCAGGCTATTCACAAGGATTGCATTTCATCCTGTGATATTGTAGGGTGGTCCAAACTACAGGGAGGGGCAGGTGACGGATCAGAGGCGTTGTTGTGTGTTTGATCAGAAAAACAGGGGCAAGAACCTGTGTTGCAGTCCACAGGCAATGGTGACTTTAAAGTCTGTTGACTGTGTGAACATTACTTGATAGTTGTGGTATCTCTACATTCCTACTCATCATGCTTGTGTCTCTGTTTTCAGCACTGTTTAATCTATTTCTACAACCATTTCTGTCTTATTTAATGCAGCCCCTAATGTGTGTCAGTCTTTTCTCACTCTGTGATACCTGTAGCATATGTAACTCTGTAGGGCATTGTGTGTTTTTTACTTCTTGCTTTTCCTCTATTTACTTAAAACAATGTGAAAGAGAAGCTGATAAGAAAATGCAGATTTGAATTGCAACACATAATCAGAAATAAAGCATAATCATTTTTACACACCTCCTTTTTCCCTACATGAGTTTTGAGATTTTGATTTTAGGAACATATCTTATGTGGTGCTCAAATGATGACAGCAATTTGATTTGTAAAACATAGACATAGACATGACAATTAAACACCTTGGTTATTATTATCATTATTTCCACCATACAGCATAGAATCCTCTGGTATCTGACAATAGCACATTGACTTATGATTTCACCTCGATCTTTAAGATTGATTTTGATGAGGATAACTAAGGAAGTAAGGATTCACTAGTTTCATTGCTTGTTTACATTGTTTCAATGCAAGTCTCTGCAAATTCTGTTAAAGCATCTGTAGCAATGCATTTGTGTGTTTATAAGATCTAATATCTTCACATGATGGACAAAACTTTCATTTGTTGATTTTATATCAAGTTTCAAAGCAGTATACAATTTGGCCCTACTGATTAAACCGCTTTCACCTGTAATGTCTTAAAAAGTGACTGAACTAACAAACAAATAATTTTAATTGAGTGCTGTACCCAACAACAAATAAAATCTCAAACCTGCTAGTAGTGAAGCAGGTATACGTATGTGCTTACTGTGTGCTCAAGATGTTTGGGGTTTGAATCCATCCAGAAAATTCTAATATATAATTTCCTTTTTCTACCATCTGTCTTACCTATATTAATTGTTAACTATGTATCACCAAGATCACCCTGAGGATATCTTCCCCATGGTCCTGACATCGGCAACCCAGGAGCTCTTTGGTTGCCGCGCTGATGAGGACGTCACAGGGGAGAGCCCTTACAAGCTGCTGAAAAAAGACGACATCATACAGGACATTAAGACAAGAGCTGCAGTGTCCGATTTCAGCCCTGTGAAGCAGATTGTGCTGGTGAGGCTGATCCATTGTTATACAGATCACTCAGACAATACCCTCAAGACACTGTGATGATACACAGACCCCCAGTTGAGGGCTGTGGGAACAGACAGAGTAACCAGTTTAACCTAATTTCCCCTCACTGTCTGATCTCGATTAAATACATGGTAACCACCACTCTTACTTTAAGCATTCATGCCCCTTCGATGACATTACATTACTCTAATGAGACCATTGGGCACTGTAAAGGACTCATCTGTCCTAAGTAATGTTAACTTTCCTATTTGGGACATAGTCAAGGCCTGGCCTTTAGTGTGTGTGTGGTGTCTGTCCACACATTGCTCCATCATTAACTATCCTTCTCAGAGTACTACTGTACAAAGTTTCCTCGCAGTTGCGAGATATATTCAAATGCACTACATTAATTTTATCTAAAATCCTGTATCTTTTGTGCATCTCTCTACTGTTGACAGGACTACCCAGAGGATGAGATCTTGCTGGTTTTTGACAGAGACTTCACTTATGGCCAGAGTTTCTACCTGATTCTGACACCAGAAGCTAAGGGAAGAATCCTCAGTGTAAGGAGCGGCTAATTTTAGTTATAGAAACAGGGTCCACGTTTTGTTTTTCCATTGCTTTTGTTCTCACTAATGCCAGCTCCAGTATTTGTGTTTGAAACTCTTCCTGGTATGTCTTTATGATATACACCTAGTTATGAGGATAAATGTCTGAGTGGGGTAAATATTTTTTTCCCATTTTATTCTGGTAAACGTCTGTTGGCAAAATATTAAATAAAAAGGCCTCCAAAACTACTCCAAAATCTTGCTATAGTTCATACATTTTGTGACAAGTGTGACCATGTGGGAAGATTTCAAGTTTAATTATCAAATAAATCTTCCACCTAAGTGTGTTTCTTGTTGTTGTTTTGTGTTATCTCTATTTTATTGTAATTCTTTCTGTGTTGTGAAGCCCCCTGAGCCCGAGACACCAGTAGTGATTGAGAATGAAGTCAGTAAAACCCCAGAACCAAAGCCATGGATATCTCTTGGCAGTGAGCTGGAAATAGATGAAGAATCTGTCAAAGAGACCAGAGAAAAGGTACAGCAGTATATTTAAAAAGTCACATTAAATATGCATATTAAATGAAATAATTTCACCCTTATATTCTGTCTCCTATTTGTCATCAGCTGCGGTTCACATTCTCTAGAGTGCGGAGGAAGTTTGGGCAACCAGTCTCTTTTTCTGACCGAAATGCTTCAGATCGCTACCTGGAGTGTATTTCCTATCAAGACAGCAGATTCAGTATCAAGCTGATGCAGAGAGACTGTGGGATACAGGCTGTTCCCAGATTGCAGAGAAGCAGTGCTCAGACACAGTGGTATGCCAGCAAAACAGTACACATAAAATGTATTTATTCTACAAGAGGAAAAAGCACTTACAGGTTTCTGCCAACATCTGCCCATCTGGTGAAATACTTTCTCCTTTTTCAATGCACTGAGGAAATAAGATTTTAACACTGATTCTAAGTATTTTTCTGTAATTCATGTCTACATGCCTTATATTAAGGTGGTGCAGATTATTTTGCCATACATTATATGCATACATATATAATAAAGTTCACCATATACCACATTTTCTGTCTTTATTTAGTTAATAGTAACTCCATCCCTATTAATGTTTTTGTGTTGAGCACCTTATGTCAATTTTACAGGAAGTCTCAGAGGAATAACTTTACTCAGTACGAGCCAAGAGAGTTAAGTGAGGAAGAAAAAGAAAACATCCACCAGTCTGAGAGTCTGAAGAATTTTTGCAATTTAGTGACTCCCAGGTAAGTTACCCCCTCAAAGTCAACCCATTCTCATACATTTCTATATCAGCCGTAGGGAACTCAAATCCATCCATTATTAACATGGAGGAGCATTAGAATATTCACTAGCTATTTTATAACCACTCACCTTCTCAGTCCACTATATTTTGTGTTTTCTATAGTTGATAGTCACTGCCCAAGTTCTGGGCTTAATGCAATTTTTTTATGATACTTACTAATCTCCGTCTCTCTCAGACCCCAACATATTTATTTTTGTGGTCATATTTCTCCAGGTAAAAGATAAGATAAGCACTCATCATAAGCATTAATGTAAGCACTTTGTACTGTAGCTGTTGCTATGGAGAGACAATAGAGTAAAATCTTTAATTATGCACACTTTTATAAAGGTTTTCCCACTCGAAGTTTTACCTAAAAATGTTAATTGTTTTGCAGGGTTTTGCAAGCTCTTCAGCAGGAAGAGATCATGAATGTATTCACTGATGACTGGAAGGTTCTGGGGACAGGGGCTGAAGATGGTGACTGGTCTGGGAAGGCTTCTGAAGGTTTGATGCTTTATCAGGCCTTCACAGACCAGAAGTACACTAAGGACAAGCGCATCAGCAGCATTAACTGGCACCCAACTATTCATGGTAATAGACCAAATCTCCAACAGTGAACAGTTTTGTCTACCAAATTTGAACAGTGGAAATTTTCTCACAAAAACATTGACTTAAAGACAACAACATCCTCACCTAATGCTTTATTTAATACAGTATTTGGATAAATTTGCTATAGTTATTGTATCTTTCAACCATTCTCAATGTCAGAGCAAATGAGTTCAGTATTAATACCTTGCACAGCTTATATTGTGGCTTGGGGAACGTGTAGTGTTACGCAACAAAAGTGTCTGTAATAGCATTTAGTTTGGCAATATATACAATACAGTGTTGATGGATAATGATGAAAAAGATATATAACTTACATAAATGACATTCCCCCTGTAATGTCACTGACAAGTATCAGAATTTCAAATACTCTCTCACTGGAAGAGCATAATTGTTCATCACTGCCCCTTTGTAATGTTTCCCAGCAGTCAACACCCATAGAGCAGGCTTCCAGAGAAATCCAGAATAATAATATCAATGCGAATATATTTTATTCAAAGAAGGGATCAGAGTTGATCCATGAATTTCTCAATCAGCAAAGTAAAAAAAAAAAAAAAACACTTCTAAACAAATTTAACATCTATTTTAATGTGTGCTACATTGTATGATGTGTTTTTTGATGTGGTAGGTGTGATAGCTGTGGCTTTGACAGAAAAAAAGGAGGAGGATCAGTTGAACGAGTCATCTACATTTGACGTCAGACCATCTTTCATTGTTTTCTATTGCTTCTCTGACCCCACCAATCCCCAGGTATGGAAATACATGAATATATTATTAAACTATATTATTAATAAAATATTAAAAAGACCATATTTCTCTCTCTCATTGACAGCTTACAAGCACATTCTCTCCCTTCTCACCTCATATCTGTTTAAGTCACACTTTCATAAGAAATGGCTGAAAAGATTTGCTTTGTGCTGTCATTCAAAACCATTATCTGCTTTAGGAAAATTTGAGAGGCTCTATTGATTTGACCCAGGCACTAAATCAATAAAACTGAGCTGCTAAATCACTCAAAAGTAATATGAGTTCTGCATGACGTATGCTTTCACTGGTGTATGTGTCATCCTTTGGTTTCACCGTCTCCTGGAGCAGTGATCAAAGCAACAGAGGATACCATGTAAAGGAAACTAGAGACATTATATAATGTAAATAGATATATTTATTATTGTAAGGAGTAAAGTGCAATAGTCCAGCCATGAAGCTAATTTTAAACTCGAGCACATTTAAACATCAGGATGAAAAATGACTGCTCTGTAATACCATCCTATCCTTCCTGGCTCTTTTTCCAATTATGCCTGATGAAATGGAATCTGCTATATGCACTTGGTTTTGTGGATTAAAGCTGAACTTTGTATGGAGAGACTAGAATAAATAAATACTTGGGATGGCAAGCACCCAATATGTGGAAATTTGTACTTTGAAATATAATATTTCTGTCCTTTGTAATGTGGGTTTTCTGTGTTTTTTGCAGTTGCTACTAGAGTGCCCAGATGACATTTTTGCCTTCGAGTTCTGCCCCTCTGATCCAAATATTATCGTTGGCGGCTGCATGAATGGCCAGGTGCAGACTTTGACTCTGCTCTGCATCTCTACTTTTCTGCCTTTTCTGCCTTATAGTTGTTTTTGTACCTTACTACTTTCTGACTGACCCTCTTCTTATCATAAGGAAAATGATTTATCAAATACACATTAGTCATATTGTTTCCTCTATATTTTTTCTTGTTACTCTGTCACTCTGTTTTCATCAAAGTTTGATGAGACAGATTTGAGTGCTTTCATGTTTGTCTTTTACACCAGACTCAGATGTTAATATCCAGTAAGTGATTTTATGTTGCTGTTGTCTCAGGTTGTGTTATGGGACATTTCTGCTCACGTCACACAGTTACAGGGAATGCAATCTAGTGGAAAAAAGACCTCTGTCAACACTGACACATTCGTAAGTACCCTTATCCTGTCTCTTATGTGCACAATGTTGATACAATAATACATGGTGTTCTGTGTTGGTGTATTACTGTACATGTGGTATCATTTATCGTAATTTGTTGACTAATCATGATGTTGGCTTGGTTTATTCAAGTATGGGTCCTCAGTTTATCAAAGCATGCATCATGTTTGCTGTAAAGACAGACTGTACTCTTCGGTAGTGCTGTATGACAGAGCGAGATGATGACACGTTGACTCCTGAGTTCTCTCCTCATCCTCACCCTTTCATTAGTTGGGAATGCAGCGGCCTAATGGTCCTTTTGAAGCCAGCCTCAGCTGTCAAAATTAGTTCCACAAATGTTCTAATGCCAGGAGTAAATCTCAAAGCAAGTTTATATCATTACATGACCCCACTGCCAAACGAAAGTAGGCTATTAGGCCGCATACAAACACCTCACTCAGTGATCTAACTGAATAAAAAAAATCTTGACTGAAGACTGAAACTTCAAAGAGGGTTTCTCATTTGGCTTTACATCATAGTAAACTAATATTTTCATGCTATATCTGCCTTGTTTCAATGGTATTACGTAGCGTACTAAAGAAGAGGTGAGGAAGAGAGAGGTAATAATGCATGACAAAAACCAGGCTCATATTTGAACCCACAACATATCAAGTACATTAAATCCACCATAGCCACTACTTTTGTCCCCTTAAAGCCTGACCTCAACTGACATCTTCCACCTGACTGCCGTATTTAAATAGAGACATATGCTCCCATCATCCAGCCCCCATTTGCTTTGTGTGTTTTTACTGCCTCTACAGTGGAACAGCTGTCTCCATCCCTATCCGCACTACTTCCTTCTCTTTTGCTTTCCCCCACCTCCTCTCTCTGTTCCTCCCACTATTCTCTTTGTCCTTGTTTGTTCTTCATTCCCCAGAGTCAACAGCATCAGCTCACATACTCCAGCTGTTACACAAGCCCTCCGTCTACCACTACAGTTTGTCCTCATAGAAGATAACACACAAGCAAATCAGATCACTGCCCTCCCCAGTGTTTGCAGTGTAAACAATAGCAGTTGTATCAGCTAAAGGGCTTTATTTCGATTTTGAGTGCTGTGAAAGCTACACTACACCAGCACCTGTTGCTAGCTTATCAGATAAACGAAGAATTAAAATCCTCCTGTATAGATTTGTGTTCTGTTCACCCCATTGTACATAATAAATCCAACCACAGGTGCACCTCACAGCCAAATTAGCTGACATTTGTGCACTCAGGGACCTGAGTGCACAAATAGAGCCATACATGCAATGTATGAGTAGATGTTTTGATCCTGTAATTTTACTTCAATAAAAAGCAAAGAAAGATAACATTATGGTTGATGTGCAAACTAGTTGCATAATCAGCATTGAAGAAGTTGCTAGTTATTAAATACCCACTCAAATTTCTTTTTAAGAAAAAAACTAGGAAATTGCACAAGTGAAAGTAGTTTATAAATAGATGCCAATATACGGACTACACTGATTTATCTTCATGAACTATTTTTGTTCTTTTATTTTTTTTAATGCATTTCCCTTTTTTGGACAGCAAGTCATCATTGTATTAAGTCTTTGTATTTAGATTAGGTTGGATTGAATTGTCAGAGCTCACTGTACAGTACATGCTGTGCCTTTTGTGTCTGACCTCCCACCAGGACCTTGATGACAACAAAGAGAATAAGGCTCCTGTTGTGCGTTTCTGTGCAGTGTCTGCCATAGAGAACAGCCACAAAGCACGAATTACTGATGTCCAGTGGCTGCCACCAACGTTTGAGGTACACAGAGCTGAAGGGCAGAGGGGTTGGGGGGAATTAACAAGTGAATGCCTGAAACCAAATAGGCAGAATACAGAGTTATTCTTTGACAGTTTCCACATAGAGTACAGTGGGCAGCTGCTGGGACCTTCCACATGGTTAATCAGTTTTTCATTTGGCCTATCTCGATTAATAAAAGGTTTTTTGTGTGACTACACGGCAATGCTTTCAGTGAAACATTATTTGTTTTCTTGATCTCAAGCCTCTTTTATCATATCTAATGTAAACACTGTGACATAGTTTCCAACATATCAGAGGCAGCTGGAGTAGATTTTACCCTTCATACCTAAGTCCTTAATTGATATTAGAATATTTACACTTAAAGGGTCAGACCTTTTTTCCTAAATATTCATTTAGTTTTATCTGGCTAAGGTTAAAAGCTACTTGAATGTAAAAAGGTATAACAGAAGGTAAGGCAAAATATTAGGGATAGTGAAGTCATAGCCTTTTCTCTGCCCTGACAACTATGAAGGCAAGAATGCAACATATTAAGACTATGATAATAGGAATTACAATAATCAACAAGAAGGCACATTGGGAAAGAGGGCAGAATACATTGTCAGACAGGACAAAAGTAATAAAAATACAGCTGGTCAGAACTGAAAAATAACTCCACAACAACACAAAAGATTTTGTATTTGAACTGACGGACTTTCCTGTTCCTGACAGCTGCAGAGAAAAAGAAAAGAAAGAAAAGAAAATCTTTGTTTGCACAATGACACTATGGTGTTTGGTCTGTTAGATGTGCAATAACAAGTGTGTACAGTGAAAATAGCAGCCATAGAAATTTTCATACAGTAACAATGAACCATGGTCTCACACAGATTCAATCATTCATTCTTACAGTCCACAGAACCCATGCATATTGCTGAGTGTTTCTAAAATATTTCTCATGAAACAATGACTACATTATGGTTTCCCACTGGTGCCTGTCCCTCGTCTCTGAGCTAATTGTAATAAATCATGACAACCAACTGGCACTCATCTGGATAAGTAGAATAAGGCAATCATCAAAGTGCCCCAAGGGGAACATCAAACTCCCATATATCTTCGCAGGAACCTTATTCACTATTTGACATAATAAGCTTGACACAGATATTTGTTGATTTTGCAACTCTCTCTCTCTGATTAGGTGACCAGGACGGGCTTACCAGTGGAGAACAAGTATAAGATTTCTGTTCAAGTTGTCACCTGCTCTCCTGACTGGTAGGTCTTACACTGAAAAATTTTCATTTTAAATGTTTAAATGGATGAAATTCTGTCAGCTTGTAGCCAGTATAATATGGTACATAGCAAATTTGTATTTCACAAGTTTGCCTTTTTGTTTATGTTTGCCACTCCACTGATTCAAATAATATGGCTGGTAGCAACATATACTGCCAAGTACAGGTGTGTTGTTGCAGCTGATGGCTTGTGACTTGAGTAAATGTACAAAAGTATTAGCATCAAATGTATGAATGTATACATTGTCTAATGTTTCAGCTGATAGAGGTGGGGGTTTTAATTACTTTATGTACTCCTGGGTAGCTTGTGAGTTTCCCCCTGGAGATCAAGTAGATCTTATCTTTACCTATAATGATACTTCATAATCTATTTGTTTACTAGATTTTGTATTATCAATCTGAATCTGTAAAGTAACTAATAACTAAAGATATCAAAATAAATGTAGTGGACTAAAAAGCAGAGTATTTGCCTCCGAATTGTAGTGGAGTAGAAGTATGACGTGGCAGAAAATAATATAGTAATTGAGTAATTGTGCTTAGTTACTTTTCACCACTGTTTTGAGGGCCACTGTCAATTGCCGTGACAATGCACGGAGCTTTTCAGTAGATTTACAGCAACATAAAAAAAATTCAGACTGGTTCAAACCCACAGAGCAATCTAGCTTATCCTCCCCCTGCTGAACATACAGTACCATTTAGATATTAAAGAACTGTGCAGTCATTGAGGGTATTTTTTAGACAGATTACAGTTCCCACCAAACTCTGTGTTTTTCTGTGATTTTCTAGGTATTGTCATTGTTTGTATCTATCACACACAGATAGTAACACACAGACAGTTAGTAAATTCTTGTCTCACATTCCAAGGCCTGATAATATGTGACTGTATAGTATATAACAAGACATGACAGATTTGTTAATATGGTATAACGATTTCAGTTTTCAGATTATAGTTTTTACCAGATTTTGTCATTGTTAAGGAGAGCAGTAAACAAGTGTTTGCTTTGGGAGTGGGCTGTAAGAGTGACCACAGTCTACAGAAGCTGAGTTATGAGGTATCAGCCTTTAGCAGACGCTTGTAGCTTTGATATGACTACAGGCTGCTTATTTATGTACTGTATTTTGAGGTCTGGGTACAGTCCGTAGATTGATAGAAAAGACATTACAGATTACAGATGGATGCCGATCACGAAAGTACTGTGTCTACAGTTACTGGCAGTCAGCGCATTTGGGTAGCATGCTGTTCATTATTAGAACAAAGCCCACACGTCTTTAGAGTCTTTATCAGTCACTGTTCATGGTGTGATAGTTTAAATAGGAGCATGAACATGAACAAATGATTCAAGTTTATATTAAGTTTAGGTTGAATAGTAATATTAATTCCACTGTTAAAACTGTCCATCTGTGGGTCTGTGTCCCTCTGTTTCTGTAAAGCACTATTATGTTCTGGGATGTGCGAGTGCCAAAACTGTTGAACCTGTCAGCGTCAGACAAAAAGCAGAATGTGGATCAGAAGACCCAGATGACACCCTACAGTGTCCCCGACACTTTCAAACACCTGGACCGTACATGGAAACCACTGTTCAGGGTACTGCAGGGTCAGGGGTGCAATATGAAACTCAATATTTACTGTAGGTGACATAACAGTGCAACTCTTTTGACAGTAGTGAACTGTCAAATGATCTGGAATCTTTTTTTCAGCAGTTTTAAAAAATTAAGCTTTTTACACCTTGTGGCTGTAAACAGCAAACTGAAAGGCCATTAAATTGATTGGATAAATGATAGCACAGTTCACCAATACTGGCACAAATGCCACAGAATGTGCATCTGCATGTCTGGTGTTGTTTTCAATCATATATAAAGTTGTGAGTAAGCTAAAGCTTCAAACTACACAGCATGGAGTCCACAAATACTTTTTATAAAAGATTTTAATTTTATTTAACTTGTAACCTTTTCAAGCCATGAAATGTAATTCTGAAAACAAACATGTACTGTGGTATTTTGAAGAACAGTTTTCATTAAAGACTGAATCTTTGTGTTTGATATCCTGCAGTGCTTAAAACTAAAACCACAATGTCACCGTTACATTATTTGCAACTTTAGTTCAAAAGCTCTGAGTATATATGCAACATTTAGTGTCTGTCAGTTCTTCAGATGTAAAACGTTGTCTTCTCCTCTGTCATGTTTCAGGTTTCGCTGCCAAAGATCAATATCGGTGGAGAATACGCTCCTTTGAAGTTCAGCTTCGAACACTACACTTGTAATGGTAATACAGATAGGAACACAGGTGAGGGATTTTACCCCCTTGAGGCTGCCTGGGTTTATTTGCTTCTGTCTGTTTCACCATCTCTCCACGAGCATTTCTCTATTATATTAATTAACAACAATTATTTTTTTGTTTTATCGATAGATGCAAAGCATCTCATGAGAAGGTTTATAATTCACTCATACACTCACTCAGTCACAGAAAGCAACTTATCGTGCAAAAGAGACGTCTGATCATTTTCAGACCCTTTCACACATGGAAACCCGGATAAGAATGTGATAAGCAAAACTCAGGTCAAAGTGTAAAACACAAAACTTCAAACGCACACAAACAAAATTAACAACAGCAGTTAAAATATATATGTAAAAAGTGAGTTTTCTTTTTAACCTTCAAAAGATTCATACAAGTCATGTAATATCTGGATTCAGAATCTTTATGTGTTAAAACTGATGCAGTAAATAATAATCATTACAAAGGTAACTATCTCCTGTCTGATAGTTGTCAAAAGTGTTGGCATAGTCTATTTTTGGGGGGTCTTAGATTTTTTTAGTTCTGTTTTGGATGGATGAGCACAGTGATCAGTGGAGCAGGGTGGACTTGGCCTTCGGGTACTCTCTTTCTCTGTCTGTCTCCCTCTTCTCTACTCCAGTTTCATAGCACTTTATTAAGTGATACTTCCAAAACAAGGCCCTCATAGTTGCAGAGTATTAGCCTTGCTGACTGTCAGCTCTTTGCAATATGCTGCTCAGGCTCCTTAGGGGCCAGAAGATGATCATGTGTGTCCTCACTGGTCAAGAAGAGACCTGTCTTTGTCTGGCTGAAAGTCTGTCTCCATAAACACAAATTTGGTGGTTGGTGGTTAGAAAATGAATATGCTCACTAACTGAGGCAATAAATCTGCTTGGGTTTTTTCAGCATCCCTCAGGCAGTCTGTTATTAAGGTTTTAATGAATCTCTGTGTGATTAATACTTTGGTTCTTCTGAAGATGTTTGACTGATATTGATTGAGTCTATTGAGTCTGCTTCTGAGCGCTATATTCAGCGTTTCATCCTGTACCTTTTGCAATTTCTGGTGCTACTTGCACTTACAGTAGTACCCACTGTAGAAAACCTCCACCCTGCCCAACAACAGAACCACATGATTTTCCAGACCAAGTTTTTTCAAGCAAACCCTCATGGGGATGAAGAACAAAAAAGTTGAGCAGTAGTGCAGTCTGGTAAAAGTTACACAATGTCTACATCTGTAACTGTGCTGTATCGTCTGTCTCATATCTTTACACACATCTTAACTGGGGGAAAGTTGTTTTAGAAGATGTGTGACTGGGTAATCTGATCTGACCTTCATGAACTAATCTAACAGACTAAGGTTGAGACTTGATTGGGAGCGGTCCGTTGATAAGGGGGTGTGAACGGACAGTTCTATAATGTCCCTGACAGACATTTGGGCTTTTGTGATTGAAAAGGCCTCTTCCATCACTAGCAACACTGCCTATCTCATCCCTCCCGTCCTTCTCTCTTACTGTCCCCCTTCTCGCCACGACCCTCACTCCTACCTACAACTCTTCTCCCTTTATTTCCCACTTCCCTAGTATCCCCTCTTTCCAACCCATTCACCTCAGCTGTACCCACCCTCACCTCCCTCCTCTTTGTCCTTCTGTCTCCTTGTTCATGGTCAGATTACAGAACAGACTGCACCATTGCCACTGTTCAATCTCTCTTATTTCCTTACTTTAAATAATTAGATTTTTTTAATGTTCCTTCCCTGATAAGTCAATAGTGTCTACCAAATCCTTGCCTATTGTTCTACCCTTATTGTTGTATTTTCCTTTGGTTGAAATATATGTTTAGACTTTTTTTTCTTCACTAACAAGACCCCAAATAGGTGTGTCAAAGTCAGACATGAATTTAACCATTGTAAAAAAAAAACTGCTCTATATTTCTGTATCTAATGAGGACCATGCTGCCACTCTTGACTGACTGAAATGAAAAAGGCCCATGTGTGTTAGTAAAGTATGAGTTGAACTTTTAACCTCACCTTATTTTCTGCCCCACACCCTGCGCTCCCCATTGTCATTTCCCCTGACAGGAGAAGCTGATGAAAACGATGACAGCTCAGAGATCATCGCAGACTACAGCCAGCTCAGAGTGCCCTCAGCCAAAGCAATCACTACTTTGGAGGCTGTCAATACCAAGCTCTATATTGGAACAGAGGTAAACATTGAAATCAACAATATCAAGCATTATTTTACTTAAATACAACACTCAACTGCTTAAAGAGTAGGGTCACTTTATTGTGATAGGACAATGTTAGATGGAACCTAGTTCAACTATATATTTTTTACAAATGAAGTATCATCTTTAGATTAAGATGCAAATTTTGCATTATATGATATTCCACATTGAACAAGTTCTTACCTCAGAAACGCATTAAAATGTACTGTCAGATGGACTGGTTAAGATGCACTGTGGAAGCTATACTTGACCAGCAGCTGTCACAGTTTTATTAACAGCTGTGTTAATAAAAATAAGGAGAAATATACAATGTGCCGGTTTATTCCACATCTCCTCGTAATCTGTTCCATAATGTTTACTTTTTAACCACCAGGATGGAGAGATTATTTACACTGACTGGAAACTGGAGAAGGACGACGCTGGACGTCTAAACAGTGAGTATTCTGGCTCACCATTGTTAAAGTGGGTTTAGAGGAACCTAACCAGTGCTTTCTTCACTATCCACCATTTTCTAAAACAGACCAGAATGCAGTTTGTGTTTACAATTTAATGTTATCCACAATAGTGGAGTATTCTCGAGGTCTTGAGACAAAACAAGGCATTGACAGAAATGGATAAAATACATTTATGTCTCAATTACTGTATTATAAGGTATTTCAATAACCACAATCACTGTAAGTCAGCTCTTTGGTTTGAAAGCCATGCTGAATGTAATCACTATTATAAATTGGACAGTAAATTTACAGGGACGCAGAGGGTTAATTGCTACTTGCATTGCCCTGTTGCTTCTGTGGCAGCAAATTATTGTCAAATAAAACAGTGCGTCTTCTCTTCCTGCCTCTCTCACCTCTCTCCAAGGTGCCAAGCCCCTCCACTGTTTTAACGTCCATCACTGGCTGGTAAATACAGTACAGCGATCACCCTTCTTCAAAGACATTATTTTGACGACGGGAGGCTGGCACTTCGCCATCTGGAAGGAGGGAGTCATGGTAACCCTGTTGATTCAACTACAGTAGCAAAAAACACTGGAACCAGTAGAAATCGCACCCATGTACTTGACTGAATAAGAATAAGTGTAATCAAAAAAAGATCAAGGTTATCCTGGCCTTTCAACCAAATCAGTCTTGCAGACTATCATGATGTACACAACAAGATAAAATCCATGATATTTAACTTATAACAGACCAGATTTATTGCATTCAAAATCCTTTGACTCTATTTGACTTCTTGTATATCAAAACATTCAGGACGGCCCCATCATAATGTCACCAAGCTCTGAGCAGGAGTGCACTGTGGGATGCTGGTCCCTGTCCCGACCAGCTGTTTTCTTCATTGGGAAAGACGATGGCAGCATTGATGTGTGGAACCTGGTGGAAAAGAGCAGTGAGCCTGCACACGTCCACGCACACGTGACCAACGCCAGGATTTCCTGCATCAAACCCTGGAATTACTCCTGTGAGTTTTTGGTATCTCATGATACTAAGCTCATGTGTGGCTCAATTAACAAGGAATTACTTAATATACTTATGTATTTGCAGGTGAAAAGTATTTTTAAAAGTTCCCTCAAAAAACAGCCTTCAAAGACATTAAAAAGTCTTACGTTTCATTTACAAAGATCTTGAATTTGTTTTTCTTTAGTTATAACTTTTGGCTTTTGACTTTTGACCATGCAGTCACTGTATTAAATTTCATTATCTGAGGTATTAAACAGTCTTTTAAGTCTAAAATTTAATCTCCAGTACATTGCAGAAACCCTGTAACTAAATGACAATAAATGAGATGAGCCTCTTGGGCTGAAAGCTCTGATGTACAGAGATCTACCCCCTGCTGCTCACCTGAGAACTTTGCTGTACCTGCTGTAGTCACTTGCTGCTGCTCATCCTAACATATAGAGCCTGGCAGTCTGTTTTATTTATATCTTCACAGCCTTTGTGATAAGTTCCTTGTTGGAAGATTTTTTTTAGCTCATTTACTGGGTTGTTTTGTACCTACAGCCAAGCAGCACTTCCTGGCTGTGACTGACGACCTTGGAATGGTTCGTGTTTTCGAAATCCCAAAGATACTCAACATTCCCTCTAGGAGTGAGGTAAGTCAGTCCAAACACCTCCTGTGTACTCACTTTGAAGGAGGTTATGACTTTTCTGATTATTATTTCTTTTTTTTCAAAATAATTAGTAATGTGCTGTTGGTCAAGGTTGAGAAACTGAGGTAACAACTCCAGGACTGCAGCATGCCAACACTAGTTTACTGCCAGCTATTTATAGGTCAGGTTTCTTTTTGCTGCATTCTGCATTGATATTAACTGGAACTGTACACATTTAATCTGACTGTGAAAGCTGAGATGTTTGCATGAGATGAGATGTTTAGTGTTGACAATTTCCCCCCTCTGAAAGATGCATCCTTGTGAATGTGGAATTTATTCAGTCTGAAGGCACTAGTATAAAATGGCACAGGCTTTGGGAAAAATATTTTATTAACATACAGCTTCTGTCTGACCTCAGCAGTGTGGATGTGAAAGTGCTGTGTGGAGAGTAGCTAATTAAACCCAGCAGGAATTACTTGCAAACTTTTGGTTTAGATGATCAAACTCCATGACGTCCAGCATTGTAATCAAAAGAAATAAAACATTACTGGCATTATTTTGGCTAGAAAACATTAAGTAACAAGGTAGCAAGAGATCAACAGAGTGGTGGCTCACCATTGGCTCATTGGCTTATAGGCAGATCAAATCATTTTAGTTACTGGTGATCCTTTCTTGACCGCTCACACTACAATCGAAACACGAGTATTTAATGCTTTAAAAAGATTTGCCAAAGTGAAATTGATTTCATGGAGAAGAAGCTCATGCAGGTTTTTGTCAGTCAGTCACTTTGTTGTTGGAGCAGCTAAACACAACAACATCACAGCCCAGGAAAGACATGTGACAGTAGCTGGTAAAACTACAAAAAACAAGAAAAAGGTTTTGCAGATAGCAACAACTATTTTAAGGGCATTTGGTGACTATATTTTCAACATGTCTCCTGGACAGATTTCATGGCAAAATACTGAAAAAGTCAAATCCTTTACATACATTATAGTGTTATAGTAAAGTGCCACTGTAGTTTCACTGCAGCCTATTTACTTTTTGCCTACAACCTGGATTCATCTGTAACATGCTGATTCAATGGTCACCAAACATCCGCCTTTGTCAGAGAAATTGTGATAATGGGTTATTGTGTTATTAGTCATGAGTTTAATTAATGGCTGCCTGAACAATATTAGAGCCCTTAATCAGTCTCTTTTTCCTGTGGCTGTGTGCAGACTTTGAGTGTGAGGAAATACTTCGAACAGGAGGAAGACAGATTGAAGGATTATTTGAAGAAGGAGGAACAGTGGGTAAAAGAGAAAAAGGAAGCTGAAGAACTCAAGAAGAAAATGGTGAGCTATGGATTTTAATTCTAGACAGAATTTACAATAGATTTAAATTTGATATTTGCAACAACAATATCAAAATGACAATGTGAAAACAATTTGAAATTGGTCACTATTAATGAAAGTACAAAGGATTGCCACCTGGATAAGAAGATATTTTCAGTTTTTACTGAAATACTGCTGTAACTTTTCATGTGTACAAGTGCAACACTATGAATGTGAACTATTATTTCATCTCGCCTAGCTTAGTGACGTTAAACCTTTCACTCTGAAGATCTATGAATGCTTTTGTATTTAATTTGCTTCAAGCATAGAAGGGGGCAACCCTTCAGAGCCAGTGGAGGGTTGTTAGTTTGGATCCTCATGTAGACTGGAGTAATCTAGACAAACTAAAAGCATGATGATTGCAGTATTTGCTGTTAAAGTGGCCTTGAATGACACCTTGTGTCACTCACACTCACAGTCCTCTGCTTATACATTAGGACTCACAAATGTTTTTTTTATTGACCCAGTTAAAAGTGTGTACACTGGTTCAAAGTTGACACAGGGAAAGCTGAACTAGGCCATCCCTCTCTCTGCCTCTCTCTCTGTCTTTCTATCTCTGTCAATCTTATTCTCTCGCCCCTCATGTTTTATTCACATAGATCGTTATTTGATCCTTTGCACTGGGGACCGTATAGTTATTGACAGCCAGTGCCTGGCAGTCTGTCTGCTATCTATAGAGGCTAAATCTTTTACTGGCTAAATGTTTCAGTTTTAGAATAGATGACAGTTATAAATGCAGATGAAGGTTTGTTTTGCTGAAGCAATTTCTCATTAGTTTCTGTGTTTCTGGATGTTGTCTCCTTGCTCCTCCAAACAAGGATATATTTCCCACATGTTCTGTTTTCGTCACATGTCTTGTTGACGTAAATACCCCAACTAAAAATTCAAGTTCAAATACAAGACAAGGACAAGACACTTCAGGAATTTAATACAAACAATACTGTCTGCTTACTATTATGCTATATTGTGTATGTGTGAACAAGTCTGTGGCTTTGTCTGGGATTTTTACGGAAAATTAATATTCAACAAATCCTCCTTTAAACTTTTCCCCTGGTGTGGGAGGAAAGGATAGAGCCATAGCTATAACATAGTTTCATTTGTACATTATTTTTTGACTGGACCGCAACAGCATGGCCAGCCATTTAAAGTCGCTGACAGACTGACTCACGGAATGATCAAGTTACACCATTGGTCAGCTGAATGCTGCATGATTGAGTGATAAAGGCTAAGGCTGAACTAAGAAAACTAAGAAAGCAATGGTGTCATTGCTTTCTTAGTTTTCTTAGCTCAGCCTTAGCCTTACCTTAATTTGCTAATACTGACTATAACTAATTTATATATGATCAGTAAAATTATAGATCTACAATATATTGCATGCCAAGTCTTTCCTGAAGCCACAGATTTTGTAAGGTTTTTGTTTGAAGTCTGCTTGGAGATGTAGTCTACTTAAAATAAGTGCTTCTCATGAAGCTAATACTATTCAGAGGCAAATTTGAGCAATCAAACAATTGTCAACAATTTATCTGAATCTAACAATATTATTTCTGCCTCAAAGATGGGAAAACATGAGATCTTGGATAAAGAGAAGTTTCAAAGAGCCCTATCCTTTGTTACATATGGTTTATGACTAATTCTTCTCTGGTTTTGTCCCCAGGAGTCTGGCAAGTCAGTCAAATCCCTGCAGGACGATGACAGGGTGAAGATGAAGGAGGACTATCATGATTACCTGGCACTGGAGGAAAGCATCCTGAAGGGCATGGGCCTGTGCCCAGCTACTGCAGATTCCTAATATCACACATGCACACACACATGAATGCAAATTGCATTTTATACAAAACAAAGGCTTCACATTTTTATGTATTTAATTTTTTTTAAATTTGATTGCAACAGTTTTTATAAGAACACTGTGTAAGATTTTTCACATTCCATGTATCTTTGTTGGTGTTCACAATATCCATATAATTAATTCATGTTACTGAAATATGATCTTTATACTTTGTATGTGTAAAATATGAGTTAATATGAATATTTTAGTAAATTGATTCTGTCATCAACATTCAGACAGTCCTTGAGTTGAGGCTTCAGGGTCACCAATGGATTATTTTCATTCACCCATCTGAGATCTAATTACTGGGTAATATGCCACCCATTAGTACCCCCTTCACCACTGCTCCCTGAGGATACAGTTTGGAATATTTTAAGGTATCTGACCTTGGCAGGAAGTCGTTTCATGGCTCTTTAATTTCATGATGTTATTTAGTTGTTGTTGTTGAAAGATACTTCAGTATGTACAGTACAAATGTTTTATAAGGGATTTAAAAGTTACAGAGGACAGAGGACCCTTAATATAAAATAAATGTATATCTATAGCAAGTATCTTCAGGTAACAAAAGGCCTTGAAAAGCACTGAGTTCAGTTTCTGTAATAAAAGGCCATCAGACCTGGAGCAAACACTGTCACTGTCAGTGTCAGTTTAAGCAAAAACTTAAATTAACTGCAACTGATGAATAATTTTTCATTAGTTGATACATCAGTTCTGCTGTTTACCTGGGTCCAGTACCAATATCTTTAAGAACTATTATACACTGTTGCTCATAAAGTTGGAATAAAATATTTTTTACCTCTTTCCATGAAATGATTGTGATTTACTTCATTTCACCTGGGTAATTGGGACACATAATGGAATCATTGCACCTGGTGTGCAAAAGTGATTACTGATGCATTTAAATAGGAATAAACAGAGGATTGTGTCTGAAAACAAAATTATTCCAACTTTATGGGCAACAGTGTATATAGCTGTGAAGTACCAAAATAATAAAGAATTCTAGGCTATTCCATGTGGTCCTAAAAAAGTCTTAAATTCAACTTGGTGAACTCTGCAGAAACCTTGGAATCATTTGCAGCAAGAGGATGTAGACCTGAATCCATTATGTTAGGGCAAGGCCAGGAAAATAATAGTATGTACTCAAATCAAATGATTTCAGAAAATGTGAGTTAGTAAAAAACATGACTGGACCACACTCAAAAAGCTGCACTAGTCAATAATCTTTTATAAACGGTGTGTAAAATGACTGTGTAATGTGATGTGAAAGGGCTTGTGCTCAGTGATGCATCTAAAGATAATTATCACATGATTCTGTGAAGTATTTTACTTCTATCTGCTCATTGCTTTGGTTTAACTTTCCTGTGTCAGTCTAATAACTCAATCAATTACAGCAGGAGGCTGCTTTCAGCAAAAACAGCACTGATAAACCCACTGTACAGTTCCTTCCCATCATCAAACAGCAGACAGACAGTTCATTACTGGCTGTTGAACATAGCGGAGGATTTAGTAAATGAGGAGTCAGATATTTCTCTCGAGAGTAGAAATGGTCTGTCTGATGGGCTACACTGGCAATTTTCTGATTTGAATCCAGTCATTAAGTTAATCCCATCAGTCATTCCATCAATTTTGTTTTTCAGTAACACAGCAATACCACCTGCCTATAGCCATATTGTTATCTGCTGGCTAGCTGCTATCTAATCACTTCTGTTTTGAGATCGCTGGAAACTGCACTCTGGTGGTGTGCCTTGAAATCTTGTCAAGGAAGATTTGAAATAGTCAGTACCAACAGGAACAAGAGAGCAGTTGTGCACTAAGCAATGTAATGTTCACACTGTTCCACAAGTGCTCTGTGGCTAAAAACACATGGTTTGCTCTTTAATTTCAGTTAAACTCTTTCACCGCAACAGAGGGGTTTTCATAAATTAAACTTTTATTTCTGCCACACTGTTCACAGCATTTATGAGAATGCTGTTTCCCTTGCAGTGTGTTGCAACAACTAGCTCCAGCTCTCTGGACTCCATTAGTTTCGCTCTTTCACGGGGATAAAATAAGGACGCTTCAGAGTGCTGGGTCCACCTCAGGTCAAGAGCAGCCCAGCAAACCTATAGTCACAACTGACAGCCGGTACCCTGCCAGAAAAGAGGCTGGAGGGACAGAGGGAGGGGGAAGTGGCTGCATAATACAGGGGCAGCTGTCTATTGCCAGGTTTTCACACTGTGTCCGAGATGCCTCAAAAGAAAAGAGAGATGATAGAGAGAACAGATAAACAACAGAAACACAAATGGTTGGATGTTGGGTGAGAAGAGGAAAAGAAATAAGATGGCAAGAGGTGGAAAACAGAGTTGATTCCACGGGACATAAGTGAGCCAGGGGCGACCTCACTCTGGCCATGACTCATTCACGTGGACGGTCCTGTCACAAAGTGGAGGGGGTGGTGGAGGGTGAAGAATGGGCTGATGTGAGGGTGCACACAGGCAGGCGTCCATATGGCCCCTGAGGCACCAACAAGGCCCGGGTGACAAAAAGGGGCCTCTGCTTTCCAGTCATCCCCTCCTCAAACCGCTCTGAGAATTCTGTTTTGCAGTCCCTCTGTCCTCTGTGGAGCCTCTCACTTTCTCCCAGGCCAGCTCAGGAATGTGCCTTCTGCAAACCAACACACACACACACGGGGAATGCCTTCACCCTCACTGGTTAGTTATTATTGTAATGGCTGATGCAAAGAATGTTGTGCAATTGAAGCTCATGTGCAACATAAACATCTGTGGCATTTGAAGTTGCACAGACATATGCAAAGACATTTGCAGGTTAAACTCTGCTGCTCAGCACTCACACTTCTTTAAGGTTCTGGGCAATGGACAACAGCATGGCCACAAACCCAGTGACTCCCACTGGCATAAAGGGTATTCATGATGTTTGCTTTTCCTCAGTTGATTTCTTCATCCAAGTCCAAGAGATTTCCCAAACATAAAAAAGATCTTTAACTAAGGGGGGTGTCTATACAGGATGGATTGCCTGTAGTCCAATTTTTATCACCAGTTCTTAAAAGTTTTCAAGCTAAATCCAGGGAAACAATGTAAGCAGGTGCTGGGCAGGAGGGGCTGTAAATCTGGCCTGGCGAATTAAGCCATTGCCTTGGCATTGTTCTGGCTGGCCTCTTAGCTGCTCCTGCTGGGGAGGGTGTCAGTTGGGGTGGGGTGGAGTGGGGGTCTGCTGCCTAAATCTCCCAATACGGGGGCACCCTGCACATTTCACACATAGTCAACTGAGTGGGACCCCAGCTGCAGACAGAGAGATACAACTAACACAAACGTGCAACGTCACACAGGAGAGACAGATTGATGATCGACAAAGATAAAAGCATTAGAAGGAACCCGAGTCATGAAAATGATTGTCCAGACTTGTGTCATGCATTATTTCCTTGTCACAACAGCACATTGGCATCTAGTGTAAACAATAATTAGAACAGGAATTTCTCACTAAACATTTTTCCAAGAAAGAATTTAAACCAGTATCCTCCTTTCAGGTCAAAGCAGCTTCTGAGTTGCTAAAATTATCCCCAGTTAAATCGTCAGGCTACATTTCATCGCTGTAAACCGTAAAGATGTTTCTCCTTAAAACCTCTGAGAGGCTGGTGGTAAGTTTCATTAGTTGACCTTTGACCTCATAAGAGATCAGGTGACCGGGGCACTGCTGTGGAATGTTCCCTCTTGACTCCTTTTCATTTTCTAATTTCAAAGCTCTCAACAGTTTGGATTCTTGTCATTTTACCAGAACCTCCCATGGTCTACAGCAGCCTGCACCATCTGTGTGTGTGTGTGTGTGTGTGTGTGTGTGTGTGTGTTCATATTTCCTATGCATACTCAAAAATAGAGTGTATGGTTTGTTCAATTCAACTTATCAAAACTTCCAACACACATAAAGCAGTTGACTGAATCATTCATTGCAGAGGCAGCTTTAACTTTATATTTACCATCCTTGTTTAGTTCTTTGTATGTGATCACAATAAACTAGAGGTGTAACAGGTGTAATGTTTATCATGTTTACCATTATAGTTTAGCACATTAGCCTGCTAGCGTTTGCTAATTAGACCTAAACAAAGTACAGGGGTTAAAGGCATTGTTTTTAGTTTTACAAGTATTTGTTCATAAACCAAAGTATTGGTCAAACTGAATATTCAGGGTCAGAGATCACAGTCACCAAATTCATTACAAGTCACCCTGAGTCAAATAACTGCACAACATTTAATGGCAATCCAGCCAATAGTTGCTCTGATATTTCACGAAAAAAAAAAAAAATGTTGGTGCTACATGAAAGGTCCGGAAATCACCAAAGTAATTTGGACATGATGGATATTCCAGTCTAAACCGAAGTGGTAGACAGACCAACTGACCAACATTGTCCCCAGAGCCACAGATTAAGTTAGTTAGTTAAGTTAACTAAAATAACAGTAGTATATGGTGCTGTCCTAATACCTAGAAATAAGTTAGCCTTTGTGCACTTCCCTCATCCCAAAGTCAATGGATTTTTTGGAACAGGGTTTTGGTTAGATGCCTGAAATAAGGTCTCTGGCACAAGCTCAAAACATTTTCGTTGTTGGCCTACAAAAATACATCATCCCTGCAGCACTCTATAGTTTGACAAATGAAAGTTGACTCAATGTCTAATTACTCTTCTAAAGCTACAAAGTGTTCAGAACATTAAGTTTGCTTTCTGAGCAATTCCATCCATTGATGAGAACTATGAGATGAGGTTGAAAGCTCAGAAAAAAAGCAAGCAAGCACACCTTGAGTAAACACTTTATTGTTAAAACCGTGCAGTTGGTGTTTGTGTTGCATTACATATGTTGAGCTCAGAAAGCAAACCTCCATCTATTATAAAGACTGTGATATGAAATTGAAAGCCATGAAAAAGCCAGTAAGCAAACCATTAGACAGGATTATTTTTGTCAAACTAATCTTTTCAAGGTAAAAAACAGAAAAACTCTCATGCTCATCATACACATTTTTGATC